GAAGAAGTCAGTGGACTTGGCGGGTTTTGAATCTTCCCGTGACTTACACTGTCTCACTGACTCTCGTGAGCCCGGTATAAGACCTTTTGCCACCGCTCGTTCGAATCCGAACATTTTCGGCTACTGTGCACCAGGCGAGGACTCGTCTCCGAAAAGCACGACGCCTCGAGCAATCGAAATTGCTCGAAAACCCGTCGATGTCGATACCGGCGTGGTTTATGGTGCTGATGATGATGAGGGTCGGCCGATCAAGTTTTTGTCAAGATGCTCCAGTGTCAAAGAAGTGGTCAAGAGGGAAAGCTCGAATGCTATTGATGCCGGTTCCAACAAGGGTGTTGTTGCAGCCAAGGAAAACGGAAAAGAAGACGGCGAGACTAAGTCCAAGTCAGGGGATAGACGTCACCGGGCTGGCCGACAGCGAGGGCATCGTGAGTTTAGCGCCGATCAAGGAGTTCGAGGTCGAAACTCGAGCGCTCGCAGCGGCAAACCCGACCAGGGTGCCCGCGTTGGTGGCCAAGGACAAAGGCCCGGACGTAGAGACCAGCGAGCTAATGGAGGCGGCGAAATATCGCGCTCTGGCTCTACCGAAATTATCTTCACACGAGGTGGTTCAGGTGCATATTTTGGGCGTTCGTTTTATTTATTGTTCATTGCCTTAGGCAAAAGCCTAAAATTGTGCACAGACCTGCAGTGAGATGGCAAAATGGCCCAGTCTTTGTCAGTGAACTTAAAGTTACTCGTTATGCTTGGTTATTCCATCTGGAAGCGGATATGTTTACCTATTCCGTGGGTAGCAGTGTTTAACTCGTGATGAAAAGTTCTGCCATTCAGATGAAGCATAGAATTACGTATCATTTGTGTAGTTTATTGTTTATTTATACACAACTCAAAACACTGGCCGGCCAGTCAGAAGATTGACCAATACCGACGTCTTGGCCCGTGTCTCATGGGCCTTCTTCGTGGCAAAGAGGGTTGATTTCGGAAGTTCGAATTGAAAGTCTTTCTGGCTCTGAACATCAGCATTGCTGCGAGCCATAAAAAGATTCAAAGTCAAACCTCTCTACCTTGAAGGAGGCCGGTGCAATATTTGCTGAAAGGTCGGTGCTGGTCAATCCATCGATTGACCAAATTGATTGCGCATTGTAACCAAACGTTAGCACGTGAGCGAACCCAAGAAAGAGCTTCGGATTAAACCTTTAAGCCAAAGAAGAATTTGATGAAAATTTTTGCGTTGTGTATTAATAAACTGTGTTATATGTTATGTTAGGTTATATAACCCTGTTATTATATGAACCGTGTTTTGGGTAAGGTCACCTGTGCACAAACGAAATGCAAATGCCTACTGAGCATGCTAGTATCTTAATTCTTTGCTTAATAACCGACGTCTTTCATGGAGATTCGTAATCAAATAATTGTACTTAATTATTTAATGTCACACAGAATATCTGTAAGGTATATTCATTAATTTGGTTGAGTGTTGTTTAACACTGTTGTTTATCTGTATCTGTTTGTTGATTCTTAGTAGTGTATGTTCTCAAATAAGAGTAATTTGACCGATGTTTTAGGTCCGATCACCGTGACCAGAAATGCGGATCGCAGGAAGGTGCAAAACAGAGAACCAGCTGCTGCGGTCAGCGCTTTAGAGTCACGCCGTAAAGTTGACGAGTCAGCTTCCGCAGTCGCTCAGTTGCCCCGTATCAAAGAACAAGAAATATCAAAGCCTCCTTGTAAACCCGTGAACAACCCCGTGACGACGACAACCACGTCTGGCCGAAGGTCAAATCCGTCCAAGGTTAAAGATATGCCCAAATACGAGCCTGTCAGCCCGGTAGTCTTTTTAAAATATCCCAATACTTTATTCGCATTATTGGTGTTTTTGTTTTGTAGAAGTTTGTTGATGCCAACAAGTTCGCCCTACTCGACGAAGTTAACGAGGATTAGTTCTGCCGCCGCTGCTTACCACTGTTAATTGGTTACTAATTTGCTTTAAATTATTTCATCTCTGTTTCGAAGTTTTGTCAGATTGTTGGCTGGCCGGATGGTGAAATAATTTTTACGTGCACTGCTATGACCGTATTGTTCCGTCAGCGGATTACTCGTGGTTATAATAAGTTCTGCTTATGAATTTCGTCGCTCTCATGACTTCTACTAGTATGTTAATTTTTAACTCGGGTGTCTGTCCTCAAAACAGACTAATGATGTACAATGTAGAAACGCTGTTTCGTCACTGCTACTGAAATGCTGTGATTGTATATTTGAATAAACCCTGCGGTAAGGTATTTTCTTTTTTAGGTTTCTATGGTTGTTATTTATTGTTTTTATGCTGCTTCGGTCACTGTTCTTGTCAGACGTCTAACGCTTATGCTAGTTTTAAAATTTTTAATACCGTCGTTTAAACCCAATTAATTTTGTTAGAGAATTGTATGATGTACATTCACATACCTTATTATCATACTGTGTCACAGTACATTAGCATTTTACAATTTCATATCTGCGTTAAGTCTATATATGTCGCCTAATTCCTCCAAAGTTAAATTGTGCTGCCCGCTTGCTCTTAGTTGAATGGAATTGGGTTACGATTCCGTGATCGTTGGGTCCTCTAGGTGTCAGATGCGTATTGCCTCATTTTGTTAGTTACTTCACAATAATTAAACTTTCATGAGCTCCTTGCTCATATGATACTGCATGAAGATGAAACTGCTCTAACGAACATAAAAGTTCTGATGCGGTTATATTCTTATTTTGAAACATTAAATTTTGACAAGAATAGGAAAGTGCTGGTTGCGCTAACAACAATGTGGGTTTAAGAACTGTCGTCGAAGGTGATCCTTCTACCATGTGAAAAGTTAGTCTCTGTGATGGAATTAAACGATAGATTTACATTCTTTAGGCGAGTTAGAAAAATTGTAGATTGTTATCATCAACGAATGAGTAGTCTTAACTTCGTCAATTGCTGTAATGCTCCCTTCAAACGCTGAATCTGTTTTTTTTTGCTGCAAAACTAGTGAAAATCGGTTCACATAAGAGAACCGGTCGGCCCCTTGCAATAAAACATTAAGATATGTGATGTAATAAAAAAAATAATTGCGTTATTGAATGTAGTAAATCTATGAGCCTAGAATAAACTACTTAAATTTTACTTGTAACACCGAATGCAAAAAGATCTTTTATTACGGAACCTTACCTATTTTACACTGGTTTTATAGCAATATATAATAGCGTTATATTTGGAAGCTCTAATAAGATTAGGACATTATTAGCCAATTCTGGGAGTAACTTCCTTGTTTGCGTTTATAAATTATCATATAGCTAGGGTAAGTGTTGTATATGTGAAACAAGGGATACCATCACTCAAGCAACAAAGACTTACTAATCTAGATAGAGAAGATGGATTAACGTTAACGACAGGCAGTAATAAAGCACTGGAAAAAACAACTAACTAGGTAAGTTTGAGGTTTTGATGCCGGATGGTTTTTTAGTGCTGACATGCACTCGTTTCATTACAGTAAAGCACTTTTGGCATTGTTACTCCTATTTGTTAGAAGTAATGAGGCGTCTAGTCAATTTAAATTAAATTTTACGCATCTTTTGCAAAACTGATTTTTTGGGCAGTCGAGAATCGCATTGTAAACAATGCGTCATTAAAAACAGTTGATAAAATGTTCGATGACAGCTGTATATTAATTTTACAGAAAAGTAAGTCAGGATATGAAATGTTGTAAGTGCGAAAGGCGTGCTTTGGTGAGTGTTTTCGTTATGTTTCGCTTGATCGATGGCTCACCATGAAATTGAAGCAAAGGTCAAATAGTGCGCCCTCAGGCTGCAATATCAGTTTCAGTCCGTACCTGCTGGCTTTACACTGACTAATGTTTCCGTTCATAATAAAAAATGTGTTTCAACCGTTTACTTATATATAACGCAAACAAATAAGCAAATACAATATTAATCTTCTCTCACGAGACTTCTTCAGAATGGTCTGGGTTGACTTTTGCGTTGGTTTTGTTGTGGTCTGAACCTGCTGCCTTTTTTGTCCAAAGTTTCTACTGGCCTATTGTGCCAGTTAAGCAGTTTTTGGGTCATGGGTTTGAAAAGGCCGGTCCAACTCGTGCAGAGTTCATATCATCTGTTGCGGTTGACATTTTCGCATGATTGGATAATTAGGGCTTCTTTGATTCGTTCGTTCAGCCTGTTTTTTTTTCTTTAGCGATGCCTGCACTGTCTTTCTATTGGAGAACGTGGCATTTCTCTTCTGCAGGTTGCATGATCAGGGATGCTTTTTCATCTTTGGTTCCGGATGCCACAGCAGCTGTGAACCACACAATCAACTGCAGAAATCATCCGGATGACCTTGAAGAAGGCTCGTGAGATACGAACCGAAATGTACATGCTTGTCAATCAACCGAGTGACCAGCTAATTCGTTTTTATTTGTTTACCATTTTTATACACTTTTCAGTTTTAGAAAGTTGCCTTAAAATTTTGCGCCTCAAGAATTGTCGAAAACGTCAATTTAGCGAAACGTTTTGGACAGGACACTGTCCTTCATCAGACTGACAATCAGAGGAGTCAAAAATGTGGCGCATATGTCACTGTCAGATCAACACCATTGCGCAACCATCATTCACTTTTCGGCTGGTGATTAATCTCTCTTGTTTGTTATTCCCCAACGGAAGCTGGACAAAACTGCTCACACATTGCGGTCGCTTTTTCCTGACGCCTTCTTCAAAGAACCCAAGAAATACGCTGTTGATCGACGTATTGAATATCATCTTGAAAACTCACGCTTATGCTTGAAAACAAAGTTCTTTGAAAGTTCGAATTCTTGAAGGAAAAAAGTTTCGCTGCAGTGCTGGATAATCAGCGGTTTTGCTGTTTTCCGTGTTTGCAACTCAGTGCGTTTTTTCCCGCCGTATTTCTGCAACACAATGGCCAGAAGGTAGGAATGCTACCGTGGAGGGGCATTCACACGCGTCGCAAAAAGGCAAAACGATTCATCGAGCCGTATACTGGCCTCTCGAACGACAGCGTTTAAAATCAGCTTTACTCATCACGCTAAACACCGCAGATTTAGACTCATGAAAATGCAGTGACTCCTTTGTGGACTCAACACATCTATGGAGAAACATCCGTTCTGATACAGTATTTATGCGACAGGAATAAGGTGATGATCAGGGTATTGCAACGCTTTTTTATGTATAACTATGAACAGTTGACCGATGACTGCCATGTAAATTTTGCGGTCAGATTTTTGCCGCATAACGCATAGGCATATGGGTCAGCGTTTATCACCTGTTATTACGAACCCCATGGCAACTCGCTGTACGTTGCTTATCTACAACTTTACACCCCGGAAATATCGTTACCAATATCTGGATAATTCATGCAAATTCGGTCTTTATCAGAGTTCAGAGTCAATGAGGTTTATGGTTCTGTCGTGGGTAATTGGGTAGTTCCAAGTGTACAGTTGTGAAGTGCACCGTTTGAAGTGCTGCCGTAATAACCTCAGAACTGCGAAGAGTGGGTCATTTTAAAGTGGACTGTTGAATCTTCGAAAAGTACAGTCATGGGTGAGTACGAGTACAGGTTATACTGCAGTTCTAGTTTCTTCCTAAAGGAAATTTAGATATGCGCAGCTTCAATTATGGTTTGTATCGCTTTGCTGATGTCTATACAAACTGCTGATAGCTTAATAAGGTTGCTTGCCTCATTAAGTCATTTTCGATTTCACTCTATAATAAGCAGTGCCACTTCAGTTGAGAGTGATGATGACACAAATTGAAAAGTTTTAGGGGTACATCATACGGTTTCGAAACTTTCAGTGTGTATACGATGCGTAGCAGTATTTTTTTTATCGTGGGAGAGCAATTATTGAACATTATCTGGTTCTATAATCTGAATTGCTCAGTTTCCCCCTCATCATCCGCTCCGGTCACTTCTCTCCATCTCGGTATTTACTTCTTTATAAGGAGGAGTGAGCGGAATATTGTGCAATAAGCAGATGTCCATCAAGATGAAGGGGGGGGGGACGGTGTGCAGAACGACA